GGGGGGGGGAGTCCCCCGGCTGCCGCGGCGCTGCCTGCCAGTGACTCGGGTATCGAGTCCCTGCGCGCAGCCGGCTGCTGCGATCACCATTTGTGCCAGAAGCCGAGAGAGACCGAGGGGTTGGGGGTTTTTTTCCCCCCATTGTTCCTCTTTAAAGCGACCCTGCCTAGCTCTGCAGTTGCTGGGCGGGAAGTGGAGCTGGGGAGGACGCGGGGGGCTCCTGTGGGCAACGTCCTCTCTCTGTAGCTCCGTAGCTCACGCTGGAGGAGCCCGGCGCTGTCCGTGACCAGCCGCGGGGCCAGCTCCGTCTGCGGGTTTGGGGTGTCCCTGTGCTCCCCGTCGGGGGAAGCTCCACGTTTCTGTCGGGGGGGGGTGGGTTGGAGGAACCCCTGGGAAAAGCTGCCTCCCAGGTAGAGGAAACGGGATGGATTTGTGTCGGACTAGCAGGTTTCCTCTCTTTTTGCCTTCAGTCGGCTGCTGTCTGAGACAAGCGAAGGATTTTCCCAACGGATGACGGTTCCAGGGCAAAGCAGCCCGACCTCTGGGAGCCTCAGGGGCTAGTGCAGACCCTCCTGATGCTGGCTCAACTGATAGAAAGTTTCTTAAAGCTTCCCTGTTACCCTGCAGATATACCCCATGTCCTCTGTCTCAAAGGATTGTACCCGCGGGAGCTTTGCTGAGACGGATAACCTGCTATTTTTAAAAATGCTGCGTGCCCCCGAGCAGGGGTGAGCGGAGAATTTCCAAGCCGGGCAAAGCACAGCTCCCATGCTCTGCTCTGGAGGCACAGCTCCTCTCTGATAATGCCGTGCCATTGTGGCTCCTGTGCCTGAAGTCATTTCGGGGCCAAAGAAAACACAAAGAAAGCTCGGCAAGAGGCTTAAGAGAATCCAAAAATGGATGCGGCATGCATTGGATGTGTGTCCAAATACCTTAGCAGGGGGAGCGCCAGGTTAAAGGCCTTTCGGGAACAGGCTGAGAAGACAACACAAACGCTTGTGCCTGGAGAAAAAGGCGATAAGACTCGGGTGGGATATGAAGCTGGTTGTTAACAGGCCGGTTGATCAGCTGCACTGACAGGCTGTCCCAGGAGGTGGAAGGTTTCCCAGCTCCACGCTCTCCAGCCTGGATACGGCGCTTGGAAGGAGCTACAGCCGGACAGGCTGCCGCTCGGGTCAGGGCGAGAGCACGCTGACTGAGCGACTCTGGTCGGGGTCCTGCTCTCGCCGGCGCCCCTCAGCCGTGCTGGTCTGCCCTGTCCTCAGCGGCGGTTTGTTCACCACGCTGACCCGCCTCACGGGCTTGCCCTGCTCCCACAATAGCTTCTCCATGAGCTAATGGCTTCGGTCAGTGTCCCAGAATAGGTGGTGGCTTGTGCTGAGCACGGTGCCCAGGGCTGCGCCCCTCCAGCCTCCCTGCAACGGGAGACCCCAGACTTCCACAGTCAGTGATTTTGCCATCCGTGCTGTTTGTTCCTCCTTGTTTCCTTTTTTCTTTTTAAAGAAAACATTGCTGGTGATGTTTGTGTAGCTGCAGGGCATTAATCCACATCAACCAGGCTTGTATTTATATCCCACCTGGGAAGGGCAGTTGCATCAGCACATTTTGTAAAACGTTGAGCAAAACAGCCCTTGCTGCAGGAAATGGGTTTTTCTTCACACCAGATTGCTTCACCACTCAGCTCCTTCCCAGCAACAGCGGCTCCTGAAGAAGGCGCCTGGGGCTCTCCCAGGGGATTGCTCCGTGCTGGGGTGGCAGCAAGCCGGGACAGCTTCCCGCCGGGCACTGCTCCGGCTCCTCTGCTGTGTGCCCCGGGCTTGCTGGGCCACTGGTGCTTCTGTGGTGAGCAGCCTCCCTCTGGTGCCGGCTGTTCCTGCTGGGATCTCCGCTTCCCAGGGCACTGGCATGGGTGGGAGTGTCACAGGATAATGCCCCGTTTTCTGTGGCCACCGAGGCTGCGGCTGAACCCGCGGCCTCAGCCGTAATGCCACCCTTGGGCTCAGGCAGGGCGCTCCCGAGACAGGCAGGGGGGCG